AATACCAGTCTACAGTCCCGAAAACTGCAAGACAAGGCTCTGAGCATTGGGAATCACCCTGGGGCTGAATGCTGGCTCCACAGCGTCCTCTGCTGGCCCCTGTGGTGAATAAACAGACCGCCTGCAGTTTCAGGGCTGGGTGTCCATGCCAGAAGCTGACTTCCTCATTGGCCTGGGTTCCAGCCAGACCCACTCACCTTCACGGAGAGGAGGGCGGGTTTAGTAACCATATACCTGCTGGCACAAACCTTGAGTTTGGACCTGAGAAGTTGTCATGCGTCTTTCCTCGAGTTGTATTCCACCACGCAGAAGGTCCTTATGTGTGTTCTGCAAAAGGACCAGATGTAAGCCAGCTGTTCAGATCTGAAGCCACGTAGAAGGCACTGCTTTAGTGACCTGTACAGTGCACTTCCTTGAATGTGTTGTCGCATCGTTAGCAGCTGAACTTCGACTGTCTGTGCAATCACCGAACGGGAGGGAAACACCATGGTCCAGCTCAGCCTGACTCTGAGGTGCCTGAGAGAGTGGGCAGAGTTATCTGTCTCGGTGAAAGTGGAATCAGCACTCTCCTTCTCTGGCTGAGAATCAGATGGCTCCTCACAGCCTTCTGTAACTTCATCGCCACGGGATCCAATGCCTGTGCCCTTCATGGGACACCCAATGGAATGTGCTCATACCTACACACTAACACACACAATTTAAAATAATATATTTTTCTCCAAAAAATTGTCAAGTTGGTGTCACCTGTGATACTACCGACAAGATACATGCCCATCCAGCCTTCAGGTGTGAGACAACTGGAGAAACTCCTGGATCTGATGGAGCTTTGGGGATAAGGAAGAGGACCCTGGCAGCTACACTTTGGAGCCACGGAAGCTAAAGATCTGAAACCCACAGTGAAGATGGAGTGGTTCTAAAACCAGACAAGTTCATATTCCTATGGAGCCTCCATGCTGCTGGTGATCGGGTCAAACCATAGACCACCGATTGCTGTGACAATGTGACAGTGCAGCTATCCTGCACCTACTCGGAAAGCCAGACCTTCAGGCTCTGGGGAAATTCCTACAACAGGCCACCAGGGGGAGAACTCAGGAGAAAAACCATGCACAGAATTGGCACACAGGTCCTTGGCCAGAGAGCAGTAAGCCACAGTCCCCAGGGAGCTGGACCAAGTCTGTCTTCACTTTGTGGTTGACCTCCAGACCCTGGAGAAAGTCAAGCACAGCAGTTTCTTTAAGAAACTAGTGTTGAGGGCTGGAGAGATGGCTCAGAGTTTAAGAGCACCGACTGCTCTTCCAGAGGACATGAGTTCAATTCCCAGCACCCACATGGTGGCTCACAACCATCAGTAACGAGATTGGCACCCTCTTCTGTATACATAATAAATAAATAAATATTAAAAAAAAGAAAGAAAGAAACCTGTGTTGATGGCTCAGTGGCCAAAAGATCTTGTTCTTGCAGGGGACCATAATGTATTCCTAGAACCCACGAAGCACCCACAAGGAATAACTCCAGATGCAGGGACTCCAACATCCTCTTCTGACTTCCTCCTGTATCAGGCACACATAAGGTTCATAGACATGCATCCAATCAAAATACTCACACACATAAATAAAGAAACCTGTGCCTGGGACTGGAGAGATGTTCAGATAGTTAGGAGTACTTGTTCTTGTAGAAGACACAGGTTAGGTCCCCACATGCATATGTGCAGGCACAGAAAACACCCATACACATGAAATAAATTTTAAAATTATGTTTTAAAGGAAGAAAGCCCACCAGGAGTGGTGGCACATGCCTTTAATCCAGCACTCAGGAGGCAGAGGCAGGCAGATCTCTAAGTTCAAGGACAGCCTGCTCTAAAGAGCAAGTTACAGGGCAGCCAGGGTTACACAGAGAA